CCAGGGTTTAGGAAAGAAACTGAAATAGCACTGGCGAGCTTCTGTCCTTGTGTCCCTCTGCGTTATAAAGTGTCGGTCAGATGGCAGAGCAGTCACCGTGACACACTGCAGCCTATTCACCAGCACTTGGACGGCCAGCTTTTATGTGGCGCCTCTTGTTTTCAGAACCAACTACCAAAATTACAACTTTGTCATAATCTCTTTAGCATGCAATATGGCAGAAACCTGTATCAGCCACGACCTGCTGTGACTGCAGCAAGTGAACAGCTTTTACATCAGTGGTTCCCAACCTTTTTCCTCAAGGGACCCCTTTTCTGTGATTTAGTATTCTGATGACCCCTGCTTAAGTGACACATTTTATGGATATTTCATATTATCTCAAAACTGTTAAATTAACCAAATTGTGAACACAATAACTGAACCAAATGCTGGCATATACAGTAGGTCTTCTGTGTATATTTTTAAAGTTTTCTAGCATGCCTTAAAATCAAGAAGGCTTTGTGACCCCCCCATGAAGACTGCTGTCACAGGAACTGGTGATGCCTAGTTAGAAGGCAAAGCATTTCAGATGTTATTATTTTCTTCCTCCATCTTATAATCTGTACAGATATTGTTGATGTATTGTTAGAATATATCATTATTTTATTTTTAAGTTTTTGGGGGGGGCATTTTATTCCAGGAAATGATGGCAGGGAGAGATGTGGTTCATGGTCAGCACCTTAACCCCTTGAGCCACTAGAGTGCCCCAGAATATATCATTATTCATTTCTGATTAGTTGATTTAGTAATAACACCCCCACTCTCGCACCTAGGGGAAATACTTGTTGGACCAACATTCGAAATGCTAGGATACACTCTTATCTTTTATATGCTTCTTGTGGAATGCTTACCACAGAGAACTTGACTTACAACCTGCAGTCAGACACACAGTTCCTTAAGGACCCTTCAAAGTGTCGGTATCAATGTGGGTGCTGTATGTCCCACTCAGGTCAGGGTGACGGCAGGTCCTGGCCTTGGCTGTGTGACCTTTAGGTCATTCACAGGTTTTTCCATGTCTGAAGGCATGCAGAGGTGTCATTGCAACCTTTCCGCTTCCTGTGTCTGGCAGTCGTCTTTGTTTAGGAGCCCTTTAAAACACAGAACAGCTTTGTGTCCCCTGTGGCGAGGCGGAGGCGTGGAGAAAATGGGTCTCTGTTTCTGATTAGTCCGGCAGCCCAACAACACTCATTTCCCTGAGGAGAGAATTGGGATGCTAATAGTAGCTTGCCTCTTGTAGTTGAGTCTTCAGTGATTTCTACAAACCTCTGGCTGCAGACAGGCGTCAGTGCTAATCTGCTGAAGTCTTCCCAAGCAGCACAGTCCTGAAAACAGAACCAAAGCTAATTGTCATTACTGTGGTTCACCACATCTGCAGTTCTTATTTAGCTGGGACTGTTGACGTATGGTCTGTATTATTAGTTAGGTATTATATGTTATCTTGAGGTTGATAATTCATACATTTTAATTTGTGGCCATGATGAGTGGGCAACTTTGATGCCGCAGAATAGATTATTTGCCGTTAACTGGCTCCATGTCTAGAATGGTCTTTCCAGGCAGGATTGGTTCTCAGCAAAGCAAAACCTGTTTTTTCCATTTAGGGCTTGGATTGCATTGAACAAACTAGTAGCCAGGTTAAGTAATTTGCAAGTCTTGAGCTAAGTCATCTGTAGAGACTGTGGGGAACCATTTCTTTGAGGAGAACAAATTATAGCATCTCATTAGGTGAGACAGCAAAATGTCGGGGCTGCCCTGTCAGTAAAAATGATTGTGTTTGGGGAACAGGGACACAGACAAATCAGCATGCTTATACACTATTGCAAGCCAACTAATTTCTGGACAACTGGATTGTATTGCACACCACCGCAACCAGCTTAACAGTTTTTCTGGTTGGAATTATTTGAGATTGTTTTGTTTATCATAATGCCATTGTGTTTTCTTTCATAAGTATGCTGTCTTGTACACTCCTGTACTTAGCATAAGGCTGTGTTAGAATAGTCAACAAGGGGCAGAACTGTTACCTATGGGCACCTAGGGTAGTTTAAGGTGGGTGGTTAAGTATTGCATTCTTTTTTTTTTCTCACATTTTTTACAATTAACTTTTTGAAACCAGTGTTAATGACAAAATATGTACCAGACAAAAACTCTGAAAACCGCATCCTTCCCTACTTATAATGCCACCACTACTTCTCACTGAAATACTTTCCTTTTCCTCTACCTGCAATGGACCATTAACGTCATAACTACAACATGACCAGATTCTGCAGTTTAAAAAATGTATGTAGCCTCAGGTCAGAGACGCTCAACTGATGTAGCATGTAGTGAGTTCTGTGGGCAACAAAAATAATAATATATTTTTTTCAGTAAATCTTCAAAATAAGAATTTACATTTAACATACATGAGCCTAGTTCATGCGGTGTGCTTCTTTTCCAAGTCGGGGTTGATCAACATTCTGCTGTGCTCCTGCAGGGAGAGAGAAAAAGAATATGGACGAGAGACGAGATGAAGATGAAGGGCTCCTGCCTGTGAATGAGTGAATTCACTGACTGTGTTTGATTTCTGTCCTTTAATAGGTGCAAATACTTAGCAAGGAACACTCAGCAAGTGTGCTTAGTGAATTGCATGTTATCTTAACTTAGTGGTCAATGACACAACCTTATTTACTCCACTAACTGGATGTCCTTCTCATGTGCCCTGATGGCATGAGAAATACTCACTGGCCCATGACCCTGGGTTTAAATACATATGATGTGGCCCTGTGTTTTCTAGGATCCAGGTCTTTTCTGCTTTTTTCCCACCTCTATCAGTCATCCTTGTTTGGGTCCCTAGCAAACTATGAAGAGACTTATCTCTGACGTTGTCTGGCATTGCATTCTGTCACTATCTAAGTGTCAAGTTGATTTCATGGGCAACAACAGTCGTTCGTGCTATAATTTATTTGCACTTACTTGTATCTTGAAGCTGAGTGTAACTTGTGTACACCCTTGAAGGAAATTTGGGGGGGGAAATTTGGACAGTGTTTGCAAATCAGGCAGTGAACTAGCACGTACAGTAAGAGCATAAAGTGGGCAGTGTATTGACAGCCTAAATGAACCTCCTTCTTGCGAAAACTACATGAATGTTAAATATTTTGGTTTTGTTCAAATCAATACAGGAAATCTCAGAACGACCACTCCACCGTATGCTGAAATCCACTATTACCCCTACTGTGTAAGCTGATTTCTCTGCAAGCCAGTGGTACCTGCCTGTGTAACGTGGTTGCGTAACAGTCAACTGAATATCTTGAAACTATATGTGAAAACTCATTTGATACATTTAAAATGTTGTTAGACATTTGCTCTGCTCCCGAAAAGCTGGCATTTTTGCATTTAAACTTTTTCACCCGACATCTATGATATATCTGTTTTATACATTTGTAGAATGCCATCCTGTCTTAACCAAGCTGCTTTCTTCAGCAAAATACATGTTGCCAATGTTTCCTCTGAGGTTTCACATTCCTGGTGTTCAGACTCAGGATGGTAGTAAAAGAAAATGGTTTGGTACTTTGTTTCAGTTGGGTCAGCTTCAAGGTCAGTTTGGTTATGTATTTGAACCTTAAACAAAAGGCTTTAGCAGGTTCTGGTCTCTTAAAATAAAATCCTTAATAAAACAAACAAAACTATAACTATCACTATCACAAAACACGTCTTGCTTAATTGTTCTTTCACATGTGGATTTAAACAATGAAACATGCACACTAATTATTGAAGAATCATATCAGAATCAAAAGCGTACACAGTGTTTAGATAATCAGGAGCACATCTGCAAGCTGGGCTTTACCTTATTGCTTCATTGATTATTAACAGTGACTCAAATTACTTTATGTAATATGAAATAATTGCCAATACTATTAAACTCACAGTATGAACACCCAAATCTGTAGTTCTTTGCTGCTTTTAGAATCGTCAGCTTATTGTTTTAGTTTTCCAGCCCACACATAAACTGTATGTGGGAGTCTGACCATAGACTGACATTTCTAGCACAAAAGCTCGGACTGTGACTCTGACTCTGACTCTTTACACATAGCCCTGCATGTGCGAACACAGCTGCCAAAATCCTCTTTCAGTTCTCTTATTTTAGCTTCAATTGATTCATCTTAAAAATGAACATGGGAAACAGAAAGGCTCTGAAGACATGACATTAACTCAGAAAACAGCTGATCACATCACACTTGGAGGCGATGATATATTGGGGACCACTGAAAAAAGAAAGAAGTTTAAAGGACCAGTGTGTAGTATTCACTGGCTTTTAGCGGGGAAGTTGTAGATTGCGACCATTTGAATATAGCACTCCCTCGGCAGATAAAAACTGCTCATCCTAAGGTATTGAAAACATAACAGTTCTTATTTTCAGATTATTCTATACTAATGAAAACATACCTATGCATCATATATTTATTTCTGCCAATACATCCTTCTAAATGTTAAACACTGGACCTTCAAGTTCAACCATTATGCATGTGCTTTGTGCACATTTTCTTTTATATTTCTGCTTCTTAAAACAGTGCTGAGCCCTAAGAGTCCTGCATAATCAGCCTTGTGCACTCATATACAATGCTGATTAGTGTGCAGTACATTCATATAACACACATTAGTACTTTGTTCAATAATTCTCAGAGGTTTAACAACGTTTAACCACAATAACACTTCGGTGTAAACAGATTTAAAAGTCCCCTGAGCTTCACTTCCTTCTGCCGTGAAAACTCTGTTTTATGCAAACAGCTAAAAAGCACTAACACATGAAGAGAGAAGAAAGATAAGAATGTATAATTGTGTGTTGTTGTTTTTTTTGTACTGCTGAACATCAGCCCATACCTAAATAGGTAGCTAAATTTAAGGTATCTGCTCTTCCTTAAGGCATTACATGAGGTGATACCAAAGCCATTTGTAAAAATCTGTAACAACCTTGTTGTTCTCCTCAACAGGTGATGTCCATGGCCACAGTGCCCAAAGAAGATTCCCACCCGAGGGAAACCCTCAACCCCACGGGCCTGGCAGCATTCACCCTAATGTCCAGGAAGATGTCTTCAGATTAAGCCTTGCCAAGGGTGTGTCCATGTCTCTTCCATCCTCACCTCTTCTGCCACGACAGTCCTACCTGATGCCCTTACGCCCTAGCAAGAGATCACCAGGTACTGTTTGACATATATTTGAGCTTTTATATGTGATTATTGATGTTGTTGCTGTGTTGCCATTGGGTAGAACAAAATACTTCAGTTCTGTAACCATACACCCCCATGAGTATTTCTCAAGATAAACTTAATGTGCTGCAAGCATTTGAGTTATTCCAATTCTTTGTGCACTATTTCAGTCTCGTAAAGGGAGTGTCATTTGTCTCTGTGGGCTTCCTGTAAAAGTGATCATTCCTGTCTACCTTCAGGTGCTTCTGTAGGATTGTTGAACGTCTGACAGTGCTCCAGGAACAAAAACACTGCTACTGCAGTCTTCTCTGGAAAATATCAAACTATTCTTTGTAATTGTAACTCTTAGAAAAATAAGTCATATTGAACACAGGAGCATAAAGTAATAGTGATAGCTGGTTCATTCAGGATACCAGCAGTCAGACTGTGAACTCAGAATGGTTGCAGAGAATTGTTTTTGTCACTTCATCCTCATATTTGATCACCTTGCGTGGACGTAGTGGTCTCTACAACAGCACCCTGTGTTTACACTTTACTGGCTGGTAATGGGTGTGTGTTTACACTGGATCTAAGGCCCTGTTTAAACCTGGTATTAACATGCATCTTGGGTGATCCAATCACAAGTGGACAGCTCTAAGCACGTCACTTCACACCTGGCATTAAAATGTGTCTCAGTGGACCACTTGTGATCAGGTCTCAATTCCCCGCTCTGTATGCAAGTGAACACAAGGGCTGTACCCTACTCAGAATTTTGAGTAGGGTGGAATTATTCCTGTCTACTTGACAGTTTAGTACAAAGTTGCATGTTTTACGTACGGTGTCAGCAGCCCTGCAGGAGAGGATACTGTAGGATACTGTAGAGCTTTATCACTGAACTATACAAACAGGACACATACTTTTACCTTCTCTCACTGTGTAGAAGGCTGATGTTTTTTCATCATAGATGACGAAGAAAGGCGTTAATGCCAGAGACAGTAAAAGGAGGCGTCCTGCTCACACAATGTACTCTGTAACTAGTAAAATCAGTTGAAACGGTTTGTTCACAAACATCTGCTGCTTAACTTGGCAGGTAAGAAAGCCCAAACACGTAATTTGCACGACAATGACTGAATGTGTTTCGTGTGTACTTACAGGACATCAGTTGAGTAAGCAGTCCTCCGGTGTTGCCCAGGACACACTGTGTACATACTGTTAAAAGAATGTGGTCACATGCCACCCAGACGACCTCCGAATGTGGTCTGAGCGATCAGATCTCAACGCGACCTCATCTTGGGTGCATTCACAGTTTTACTTAGAGCTGTCCACTTGTGATCGGATCACCCAAGACGCATGTTAATATCAGGTCAAAAAAGGGCCTAAATTTCAGTCCTCCCAAGCTCCTTCTATCCACCATGTTTAGAACATGCTTGTCAGCAGCTGTGGGATGCTTCAAAGCAGGGGATACCTTTGTAGCTAAACTTGTTTCAACCTGAGTCTTTGTGTTCTGGAGACTTGTCAAAGAGGAGAGAAGTCCTTCAAGTGGTCCATGTGGCCCCACTCACATGTGGCACTCATCTGTGGGCTATTTAGCCTTTGTTTAGAGTGGTTACAGCTTTGATCTGTTTAGTGTAAAGATGAGTTGATAGAGAGGGGTAATATGGTTTAATCCTAATGCAAACTTTTGTCTTTCAAGTACACATCTCTGTTAAGAAATAGTCATTTAGCTGTTTTAAGATTTTAGTTTGTTTTAAATGAACTTTCTAATATGGAATGCCATATTCCAATTTCAGCTACAGATTAGGATAGAGATAATGTCTTTGCTTCAGTGTTTTCACTGATTTTCTACACACCTTTTTTGCAATTCTCATCACGATTCCAAACCTAATATTGGACTCTCAGGCCTGACATTGTGATGCAGTACATTATGCAAATGTTCAGTGGGAAGCCAGGTACATAATTAAAAGTGTGCTTGGTCCCTAGTTTATAAAAAAGGGGTAAAAGAAAAGACAGATACGGTTTAAAATAGCCAAGTAGGGTTTAATTTGCTCACCCCCGACTCAAGTGAAAACAAATCTACTCAGCAACATAGGTGACACAAGATTTGTGATGACTATTTTAAACCCTTCAAAGAGAACTCTCATGACATGTACATTTGCAGACATGTAGGGAGGGACAAGAGGGAGAGAGAGAAGAGGTTGAGTTTGTGAAGGTGAAAAGGGCCCTGGGGACAGGAGAAGGGGAACACTCATTAAAGGCATATTCCCACTTGTGGTGCTCTGAGGCATGGAAAAGGGGAAAAAATGGACTGACAAGATAGGATGTTATGGAGGACAACCAAAGGAGAGAGGGTTGGGGGATGGTTTGTAGGCTCTCCTCCGCTGTCCTCACAGGTAACTGTGAAAACCCGTAGGGGGAGAGTTCACACCTCCAGTTAATAAACACATACTGCAGGAAATGTCTCAGCTCAGCGACGAAAACAACATGGGTTATAATGCTGCATTTTCTCTTCTTCCTGAGCCCGAGAAGCGACGCAGTACACTCTATTTAAGACTCATCGTGGTTGAAATGTGTGTACTACTGAAAATGGACAGAATGGCGAGGTTCTATTCAAAATGGTGAGATTTGTTCATTTTGATTCACCCTGGATCTTTAGCTAGAAAGATGGAATTATTGGTACCATTTGAATACAGTCACAGGGTAAAGTTCACAGGGGAGCTCGATACGCTGGCTCAAAACCAGCGTATATAAATCCTCTAACCCTGTGTTCTCAAGACAACATTATTAAAATGTAATCTTGCTCGTATTCTCGCCAAGTGTACATGTTGGAGTGTTATGATTTTATCTAGGCTTCTAATTAAGAGAGCTTGAAAGGTGTTCTTAAACAGCACACAGGTGTGGAGACTATGACCTTAACAACAAAGCAAAGATGTTTTGGAAATGTATGGTGACATGGGAGTTCATACAAGGGCCTGCCCAAATACAAACACAGCTTGAAAAGGCTCATGTCATCATGCTTGTGGCATTCAGTGTGAAACACAGCCAAATCAGTTTATGTAATTCTAGAAATTGTATGCATTAACAACATCTAATTTTATTATTCATTTAAATGATGTATTATTAATGTATCTATCATGTATGAAAAAAAGATTGGTTTACTTGTTGTTGTTGCTGAGTGTATCTTACCAACAAGCTGTTCTCTTGGACAAACCTAATCATTAAAAGAAAACAATTTATCTCCAGAAAAATCAAATTTTCATAAGCAAGAAAAACTTTTTAAAAGACTAAAAGATTTTTATATGATGTTATGACATCCTTTGGTTTTACTTAACTGAAAACAACAGGGATCTGAAGGTCGTGTATTAACTGATGCAAGATAGCATTCGGGGAAAAGCATTTGGTACTTTCTTACGTACAGATGAGAATGAAAATCAATGCATATGAGCCTGCAATGAGCTCATTTATACTCATTTTTGCCAAGAATTTTTTGACAGCGAAAAAGATATTCATGGGTAGATGATGGATAGATAATTTGTTGTCTTCGGTTAGAGGAAATTTGTTTCCATGGCCTCTATACTCATAGGAACAATTTCCTAAAAGTTTCTACATACCAGCACAGGTCTGGGCTAAATTCCTGTTATACAACTCTCATTTACTTATATACAGTGAATCCATCAGTGCATTCTTCACACATTTATTTATTCTCCTTCCCATCCACCCTTCACTGATGTCTTTGAGGGGAAGTGGTTTCACAGATTCAGAAAGCATTTTGTGGCTTGGCTTCATTTCCAGACACATTGGATAATCTATCGCAGTTTGGAAGGCTCCAACTTAGTGGTTGTTCTTTTCATGAAAGCTTCACAGGGGACAACAGGGAAACATTGAGTTAATTAGGAGTGTGACGGATGCCTGAGCTGCAAAGTCCTGGTGGCGTTGAGTGCCACCGCTTTGATCAGCTAAGCCCAGAGCTTAACCATGAAACACAGCACCCTGACATGTGTTGAACAGCACCTAGGCTTTATAGTCTTAATAGTTTACAGGCACTCTAAAGGCCCATGGTGGGACAATTACTACAGGAATGTTGCCTGAATGGAGCCATCTTGCTCCAACCCAGTGCAGGTCAAAGATCAGGTATTGAAAAACTTGAACCTCAATCTTACATGGGTAGAATATAGTTGTTGACACCGTAAATTAGGTTTTTAGGTCTTCTTCAACTGTTAGAAACTCCCTGTGCTCCACCTCTGAGTCTCCTGGGTATCTCCACAGTGACCTCCTCTGGTTGTTATAGGTTACTGTGCCATTGTAGGATTAAAAGCATCTGTTGTCCTCAAGGTTGCATTGCTTGGTGAGTTACATGTTTGTGTAAAGATGACTCTTTTGTAGATGTTGAAAAGCCCATCTTCATAATTATAACCACACAATATATACAGCTACATGTAGGAGTATGAGCCATGTAACAGCATGGTGTGAATGGTACTACTCAATATAACAAATATATATATATATATATCAGTGACATAGATCTCTACTAAGAGGTTGAAGAGTGGTGGATACAGAGGTGATTGCTGCCAGTGTGGTTACATTAGATGTGCGACCTTTCTGTAGTCACGTGACAAAACTGTTAGCCCCATGCTTTGCCTCCCTGCCTGCCAGCGAGGGATCATAAAACAGCAATTCATATTAATTTATTGCCGTCATGGGTAGTGTATCATTTTAATTGGTATATCTGCAATGAGGCCGTGGGGGGAATGGTCTCTGGTAGGCTGTTTTGGATATTGAAATGAATTTAGTGGGGGGCAGTTTGATGAAGCTTTGGATTTCGGTGGTTCAGAAGCTGATTCATTTATCGATCAGCCAAGCAGGTCTACAAATCACCACCAGGGAGCATAGTTCACTATTCTGACATGATCTCTTTATTTTTCTGTCATCTGGGAAGGGTGGTAACCTTGTTGATTCTCTTTAATCAGGTGAAATCCTGCTGTGTTTGGACACTTAGCCCCCAAAAGACTTTTCTT